TTGGAATACCATCTGTCTGTATGTATGTGCACCTCATATGCACTGTAAGGGTTGGAAAGATTATATTCATCAGGATTTATCTACCATAGGTCAATGCCTGGTGAATATGAATAACTAACTCCAAAACTTGGGGTGCTTTGCAGCNCAGCCCCCCCCCCCCCGACACAAAACTTCAGCTTATTAAAGTAACTTATGGCAACCATCTTCCTAAATATGGCCACATACATGATATATTCAGGAAAATAATAGTAAGCCTTCTAATGGCCCAAATGCAAAATGTCGGTTTTCTCAAAAATGGCTGTGATCCATCAAGTGCATATCAGGAAGCATGTGCAATGTCTCAGCACTGATGCAGACAACTGAAACCCATTTTGCCAAAAATGTCCCTGAATATGTAGATACAACTGAAAGGCCCAAGTTGTTGTCGTCGTTCCACCTCAGTACGCAAATAAGACTGGCCCCTGAATTTTTCCCAAGTGACATAAGAGTTACTAGTATCCCAAAACAACACTGATGTGCCAAAAAAACTGTAAACAACTCTCAGATCCAGATTTTTAACTGTCACAAGAACATTACAAGCAGCCACTCGTGGCATTTGCTGGACTAAGTTTTTGTACCACTGAGGTGTAATACAGTTTCATTTTAGACTGTTATTGCAGCCTGCATTAGGGCTGTTGATAATACAAGTTTTAATTCCTGGATTCTGAGAACTGATCAGGATCACCAACACCACTTTGCGTCTGAACCAGGTACCTCTGGCACACAGTTGAAACAGGTCACTTCTTGTGTTAACTTGCTTGGCGGCCTGGTTCATATATTCCTACTGTTGATACGTAAGCTAAGTAACTCATTTAACACACTTCCACAGCAGACCACACTGTCGTCTAGTGGATTATAAAACAGTAGTCTGGCAGGGGTATAAACACTCTGGAGGAATATACTGCCTCCATATTCAGGGTAGAATTAAGAGAAGTGCAGTTGTTTCTCTGAAATGTTGGTACACACACTCGAAATTACATGGTATCACAACCACGATCACAATATGAATCTTCATTTTTTTATCAGTGAAAATCATTGATCATATATTTAACAGAAATTTGACTGCTGCACTTATCTACATGCACCCTGATGTGGTCAGTGGGCACTTTTCACTTTTAAAATATGTTATGCTACACTAACTTTTTATAGAAATCATGTAAATATATTTAAAATGGGTGTGGTGAGTTTGAAACCCTACACAGATTATCATTGGAATTAAGTTTAAGAGTAACACATAAATAAGTGTAAAACGTTGAAATAGGAAAGTTAACGAAACAGAACAAATATGTTGTATTTTAGTGTCCTGTTGCACTGATTCGCGTCCATGATGTGTATGTATTGACCGTTTTCTAGTGCACACAATCTCACATGTCACTTCACGACATGTTTCGGCATCACTGTGCCATCCTCAGGTGTGTTATTTACATTAAACTATTGCACTGCGCGCCATCATGTGCCGTTTATAAAATGATTTAAAATGTATGTTCGTCATGTACCATAATAAAATTTATATATTAAAATTTGTTAAGATTTATCATCTTATACGTCGTATTTCAAACTAGCGTATTATATCATTCTTCCACTATGGGAGTCGTTCTTCCTATATTTTGTGTATACTGTGTCTTGTGATGTCTTCCTTCTCTTGTGGCTATGTGCGTTGTAATGCTGGATGTGTGCGTGAACAAATATGAGAGACAAATAGTGGCAAATAACTTACAGAAAATTATCAACAAGGAAGCAACACAAAAAGAAAGAGTAACTACTCTAAAAATACATGAGAGAAAGCTTATCAATGGCATAAACAATAAAAATTAATCACAGTAATTAAATAAGGGGAATTTACTTATTGAACAACTTTTTTTTTTTCTGTTTGTCTGAGTGTTGAAAATACATCCAGTCATGGTTTTATCAACCTCTGTCCACCCAGAGAGAAAAGACAGCAATGAGAGATAAGCATCCCTGAAGTGAATTCCACTAATCTTACGATGGAATGATGACACAAATGCATACATTTCATTACTGACAAACACTTCCAAGGGCTTCAGGAAGTTTCCTTGAGGTGCTGATGGCTTCTTAAACATTTCTGTAAAAAGGACGTGTTGTGATAAATTCCTCACTACGACAAGTCTTATGTCTTATCTGTAACAGTTGGTGTCACTGCCTCACTTTCTGTCTTAGAAACCAGAATCTGGGAAAGTCCAGGGTGTAAAAATCTTCACCTAATTTCATTTCATTCTTAGATATGTATTTAAAAATTGATAAATTACACAGACATGTAGAGTATCAAATATCTATCATATGAAGAAGCTCAAAAAAAAAACTGACATTTGTCATTCAGCAATATGAAGCACATACACATCTCATAGTACTAATGACTAGTTTATTTAGTATTCCTTCAACATCAGAAATAGTTCTTAATGAAAACATGAAGTGTATGCAGATTACATGGCACTAACTGGGCACATTCTGCAAGCCTGTTCTATTAACACCTCACAGACCCCTTTAAATGACACCTTGTGTGCCCTTGTGCAATAATTTAAATGGCAGAAAATCCCTGCTTTTGAAATGCTGTCTTATTTTCAGATATTCTTTGGTACATACTGATAAATAAACTGCATTCTTTGGTCGCTCTACTAATACAAAAGTACGTAAGGCTACCATCTGTTAATGACAAGATGAAACACTAACACAATATCTGAGGCTTGCTTCCAAAATGCCAGTGTCATTTTGGGTGAATGTTTTTTCTTTTTTACTGTAATAACCACTGCCCGATATAGTCTTATGAAGAAACAGGCCATGTCTGAAAGGACATCTGTGTTCCAAGAAACCAATGTCACTGAGGAAACAAAATTTTCTTACAGTTCTAAAATGGATGATGTTGACAATGACATTCAGTAATAAATTATTTTATAATACAACAAGGATGTCTTAACACTACTCCTATTCATAGAGAACTTTGACTCTGTCTGTTAGCAGCTATGTAATCAATGATTGCAATAACATGGAGGGCTCTTGTGAACACGGTAATGAACCTTCCATAAGATGCTGAGAAATTCTTGAGTAGCTGCAGAATTGGCGGCTCCTCCAGAAGGGCTCAGCTCCATGAGTAAGTAAGTTACCTTCAGAAACACGAACTCAGCTGATTAAGAACTCGACTGAAGAGAGTGCAAAGAAATGCAAAGCCTAAGAAGTACTGATGACAGAGAAATTAGAAATATGTATGAAGAACATTAAACATGAGAGTGGATGTTTATCAGAAAATGTTTCTGAACATATTATGCTTGACTTTTAAAAATATGGGAATCTGTGCATAAGAGGTAGAGGAAATTGTCAGAGCCATCCAAAAGTTACTGAAAAAGAAATAAGCAATTAACATATGAACAGAACAGGTGCCAAACACAAAGAAAGTGTTTGTCCTAAGATTGCTGTATTTGAGACATGTACTGAAGTATGGAGTAGTGTAAAGAAAAATGCAGGCAACTGAGGAATGACACCTTCTACAGAACGAATTGTGTTCAGGAATTTAATGATTTCACAAATCTAAAAATGATAACTTGTGAGAAACAAAAGTATGCGATTATAATGAGAACAATAAATAATGAAGAAGCATGCTTTTAAATACAAAGACTGAGAGATGAGCATTTTAAATTAGCAAAATCTGTTTGCTAAGAATATGATTCCGACAAACAAAAAAGCAAGAAAAATTAAAAATTTGGCAACACCACTCTTAAAATATTTTGACATAGAGAATGGAAGAGGAAGCCAATGCTAGGCAATGGCACAATAAACAGCGATGCAACAGTGGAGGAACTGGGGGAAGCGGTGTTCTCTTTGGGTCCGTGCAGAGGCTATATCTGGGGAATTGAAACACGGCTAAGTCAGTCGAGAGTCGACTGGAAGTTGAGTTTGGAGGCAGGAAGTCTGACAAAGCTTGAGGCTGAGAACATCGCCTGGCAGAGGTGTGGGAGCCCCCAGTGTTGTAAGTCATTGCATAGCAATGCCGAGTCCTGTGGTGAGAGAGAGACAAGCCTGCAAGGATGTGAGCCTGGGAGCACTGACACTAAGGGATCTACAGTGTTCAGAGTGTTACCAGGCAACAACCCCTGAAGACACGGCAGAGTGAGGAGACTCAGAGTGCATTGCAGTGAATTGCAGAGCATTAAACATGTTTTGTCACAATAAAAGTAAATTCTAGAATTATCTGAAGCAACGGGCACATACTCATAAATCAACCCACCACATCATGCATGTCAAGACACAGGGATTCATCAGACCAGAATTTCCTGATGCATATAGATATCCAAATAAAACCATTCTCGTGACTGGTTACATTGTTGGAAGACTATATTCTGTATTCAGCATCACAGAATGTGTAAACCTCCATTTTGTTCATATGAGTATGAATGTTAATGGGCAGCAATATCCTTACTTATTCATGCAGCTCAGCCCTTCTGGAGGAGCTGCCAATTCTGCAGCTAATCAAGAATTTCCCAGCATCTTATGGAACCTGAAGGTTCATTACCATGTACACAAGAGCTCTCCACTGGTCCCTATCCTGAGCCAGATCAATCCAATCTCTCTAAGATCCATTTTAATATTGTCCACCCACCTATGCCTTGGTCTTCTCAGTGGTCTCTTTCCTTCTGACTTTCCCACCAATATCCTATACGCATTCCTCATCCCCCCCATTCGTGCTACATGCCCTGCCCACCTCATCCTCCTTGACTTGATCATTCTAATTATACTTGGAGAAGAGTACAAGTCATGAAGCTCCTCATTATGCAGTTTTCTCCAACCTCCTGTCACTTCATCCCTCTTCGGTCCAAATATTCTCCTCAACACCCTGTTCTCAAACACCCTCAGTCTATGTTCCTCCCTTAATGTCAGAGACCAAGTTTCACACCCATACAGAACCACAGCCAAAATTATAGTTTTGTATATTGTAATTTTTATGATTTTGGACAGCAGACGAGAAGACAAAAGGTTCTGGACTGAATGATAGCAAGCATTATCCTTATGTAGCAAAAAAGAAAAACCTTATAAATTATCAGTAAACATGTAACATTTACTCTGCTTTATAAAACTGCAGGTCCTTTAATAGAGTACAGAATATATGTGATTAACGTTGTTCCCCAAACATATAATTGCTCGTCTAATGGCTGCTGTGCAAGAACCTTTCCACATTGTTAATTGTTATCAGAGGCATTAAACGGCCCGTGAAACGATGGTAATTTCTCTCTAGTTCACGCTGATAGTCCCGCTGGTCTGCACCAATCAAATTTTTATTTTTCCTCAATGCATCTGCACACCTGTAAAAGAAAGATATTGTTCAGGGTTCATAGTGCCAAGTATATGGGTGTTTATACAGGTTTGGATTGGCAATGGGATTCACTGGACACTTTTAACACACACTCGTGACTACACTCTATAAATCACTATCACACACTGACTAGTGCTGTCAGTCATGGTTTTCACTAGCTATTGCTCAGCAGCAACTTCCAATGGCAGACGTTCCCCCTACTCTGGATTCCCATACTATCCCTGTGCCTCAGCTACAAGCTTCTAACAACAATGGTTCAGAAGGACTGGGCTCTAGCAGTTCTGTCACTAACTCACCAGCCACCCACTTGACTTACTTCACTCAACTGCACTCATTAATTGCCCTGCTTATAACATCTCGGCATGGACTGCACAGAAAACACTGCTCCTCTGTCGCTGTTCAATTGTTGCTTATTAGGAATTTGTTGTTTTCAGAGTTGTTGCTCAGCAATAGGTCTACATCCTACCATATGGATAACTAAACTGAGTGGATATTTCTCTTAAATGCAGATAATTATAACACTTTTCATAATCTACAAATAACTACAGCATATAGTGAGTCTGCTACATCTTCACAAACTCATTGCTTGGTTATGGTTTTCAGTACTGGGGATTCTCTCTAATGTTTCTGTATTTTAGCACAGCTACGCTCCCATTTAGGTCCTGCTGGCTCTCCTCAAACAGCTCTGACACGGACTGACGATGTGCATATTGTTGCCATGGAAATATGTGTTAATAAGCCGCTGCATACCAATGGATGCCTATGCACCACTTTTATGACTCAAAATATTCTGACTTTTAAGCGTCATCTTATAATATAGCGAAACCTCCATTTAAGGTTTCTTTGGACAGCAATGGATTTCAACACTAAACTGAGGAAAGTCTTAAACAGAGGTAATCTGACAATGAGGTTACTGACTTGGGGATCACAGAAAGTGAACATAAAATGAGGGTGGGACATTAAATGGGGGTCAACTGTATTTATTTTATATCACATAATTATGTCCAATAGCTTTTACATAATGTGGAATCAATTTTGTTAAGGCCAGTTTCCTGTTTCAAAATTGGAAATTTTGTTTTCAAGGCTGGCCAAAATGGCAGACATATGAAATCAGAAACAGAAGTAACCGTGCTGGGACAAACAGTCATACACAGACTGCAGAGGTTACATATGTACTTCGTGACAGATCTCAGGCTTCCACAGCAGTGAAAGCCAGATTCTGTGGTCTTGTAAGGGGTTTCCAACATTTCGGACAGATCTGCTACACCTTCTATCCTGAAGCAGGTTCCTCCAAAATACTGGTAACCAACTACAAAAATGCATGTTGTCACAAAGGAGACCACAATGTAAATATATTTTATNTTTTATGTAAGTTATTCTACTATGTAACTAACTATATTATTACTTTTTTGAGAAATCCTTGAAACACAGCCGCAACTTGTTCTGCAGTTTGGTGGCAGGTTTCTGGCCATCGAGTAACTCTGAAAGGAACACTACAGCAATTTCCATTGGTCCCTGATTCACTGTTGTCCCTGCAAGACACACACACAAAAAAATCTATAACTATACTGTCATGTGTCCAAGGTTCCGTAACGAAAAATAACAGGTTCTAGACTGGATGATTGGATTTATTGGCACTGCTATTATAACCAGTCTTAATTACAAACAATCGTAACAACTCAGAATCCATGGCTGTGTTAGACTTGCTCCATTCCTTACTGGACCATGAGCGTCTTCTCTTATGTGTGACTGACTTGGTTCTGATTTACGAGTTGGTCACTTCTTTAGCTTCTGTTGTCCACAGCTGAACAATGAACTCTCTTAAAAATACCGAAAGACTGAGCTCGTGAACAAACTCCAATCACGGCTTCCTTACGACTGAATCATTCTTTTCTGCATAGCTCCTTATACAGGCTGCTGGTACCCATGGAAATTGTATAGCCATGGACTTCTGTTTTGGCTCCACTATCCAGGCTTTCAGGCGTCATGTCACAAGACCATGTCATAAGATGTCTTCAATTTTCACTGTATTTTCACATTTTTCTGACAAATATTCTGTAATAACTGATATAGGGGGATGGGTCAAGTGGAATCCAGTCAACTATCTTATTCTGAGTCCACATGCCAGGTCAGACATGGAGTCTCGTGGAAGTAATGATGCTGTAACAAAATGCCAGCTGCTCAGACCTTAGAAGGAGTGGGATGACGGCTGGCAGGCAAAAGCTGAAGCAGTTGTTCCACCAAACACTTCACATGACATGCCATAAGACTGAACCTTGGCCTCTAAGGAACAACATTACTAAATATTTTTAAATTATTGAAGGGGAAAAAAAAGTTCTGCATCAGTCCATGAATCTGTAACTTCAGGTTAATAATTTGAAATTATCTTTCAGTTATAAATTTCTTTTACTTTTCGTGTACATGGTACAGTAGAACCCTAGACTATCCAATTTTCCATGTTATTCACCTTTACTTGAGCGTATGAAAAAAACAGTTAATGGTGAGAATGTAGCGTGCATGTTCACACAGTGCTTTTGCTTTGCACCTCCTCTTTTGCTCCATTCACACAGCCAGTGTTCAGTTTTTAGTGACTGCGAGTACATGCGATAGTTTTGTTTTATGTTGATGACATCCTACATACAAAATGAAGTGTGATTAGTTATTGAATTATGTAGAATTTTTCATTCTCACAGCAGTGGTTATGAAGAGTCTCACCCCACTAGCAATAAAAAAAAATACTGTTGGTGAGTGGAAATCAAATGGAGGAAGTGAAATAGAAAACTGGTGCCTTACTAAGGTAAATGAAGGACTAAAAGAAAGACTAAAAAGAAATGTGAGTATGCAAAGGTTAGTGAAGTTTATACATGCAGTGCACACAAGCCATAGACAGGCTCCCTCCTGCAAGAAGCGTTGCATTTTCAGAGGGAGAACCCAATTTCAGAGACTGTGCAGGATGGCTAGATCACTGTAAAGGGCATTATGAAGCGAGGACAGCTACAAATCTGCAGCAAAAAATTACTACTGGCACAACTGGGTTTATATGACGGCTATGCTTTCTTGCAGTATTATGCACCATATTTTGCCTATACATTTTCTTTGGGTTATCATTTTGGCCTGTAAAAAAAACACGTAAATCTTCTATTTTTACAAGTTCACTTCGGTCTGCTTTCTTGGGTGTCCTGAAGCTTGTAACAAATGATGTGTACTATATGTGATTAGTTTTTCGCTCTGTAATAGTCATGTGACTGCTTATCCCTTACACTTAATTTTAAGTCCCTGTTTATTAACTTATTTACGATTTACACTTGTCCTGAGGAATAAGACGCAAGGAACAACAGTAAGTATGAGACAGTGAATGGAGTCAACCATAGGATTAGCATACCACTACAACTCCACCGTGTACCAGACTACACAGTGTCACATTCGAGAAGATTGCTGTCACAATGTATCGAACACTTTACATGTTTCTAAAATGTGCATGAACATAATACATATGTAATATAATATTAATTTATGAATTTTCAACAAAAGTTTAAAGGATGGAGGTGTATTATCCCTGTGACTTTTTTGTAGAGTATCCTACCAACACAAAAAACAAAATAAACTCCGTGGTTTTAGTCCACAAGCAAACTGTACTGACTGAGCGACCACCGCTTATTGCCGAAGTTAGTGCCAACTTTAGCGGATAGAGGGTGTCGCATGGTCAGAGCAACGAATCCCCATGGCCGTTATTTTCGGTTTTCTAAACAGGAGCCATTATTTCCTTGAAATAGCTCCTCAATTATCCTCACGAGGCTGAGTGGACCAAATTGCAGACTCACCACTTCTCATAAAAATATGGAAGCCCCGGGAATCGAACCTGGACTTCTGGATATGTAGCCAGGAACTCTGACCACTAGACCAAAGAGGCGGTAAGAGAATGCTACCAGGGAAGATAATTAGAATCAAGAAGACATTAACTGTATATACCAGTCCTGTGCATGAAGCAAATACCAGAGATGTAAGAACAGTTCACAGAATTTAGTCAAACAGAGTTTAAACAGTACTTCCTTATATTCAAGGAGTTCTGACACAATGCAACAAAATGTATCTTCCTAAATCACTGCACAGAAACATCTCTGAGCATCTGTCATCATCAGATAGTGATGAGGATAATTATGTCATTACCAGAAAGTAACTAGATTCTATTTTCAATATGAGAGCCAAAATTGCTATGCCAGAGATTGCACTGAGCACACAGGACTTGTTTTCTAGGAGGTTGCCTATTCAAGGTATAATGTGCCCTCAAAGATGTTTCACACACAATATACTGCCTTGATCAAAACTGGGCTTGAAATGCAGTATATTTCTGAATTATGGCCTACTATATTTAATGCACTGTAAATTTCTAATGCATAAAATGATTATAAATTCACAGCAAAAATCCGTGGCTGACTGAAAAGCCAATGAAGTTAACAGGTGCAAACAGTTCCTACCTATACATCCTTGGAGTACCATCTGAAGAATTTTGGGATCAGGAGGCTCCTGCTGTGTTGCCTGTGCCAATTCCGTTGTTTTCTTTTGGATATCTTCAATTGCTACTTCAATGGGAGTCAACACAATCTGTGTAAGACACAAACTGTTTTATCAGACAAAATATTTTTATTCAGGGTCTCATACATGCACATGCACTTCTTTGGCACAAGAATTTAGTGATCCCCCATCAAGTCAGGCTGACTGAGAATTGGAATTTAGTGAAATTGATAAATATACAGCCTAATCACATTTGAAATAAAACTTACTCTGACTGAAGGAGATGCTGGGAAAGCTCTTCATTGCTGTACATGCATTCCTGACACATCCACAAAAAGTTTCAAATTGTTGAAATCCCAGTCCCCAGTGCTAGGTGCCTTAGAGACTTCCAAGGAGTATTTTTTTTATTGCTAGTGGGGTGGGACTAAGTCCCTTCTGCTGCGGCCACTTCTGGCCTATTGTACCAGCCCCAGATGATAGGTGAGGGTGATTGTGGAGCAACTGGTGGAATGAAGATTGGCAGGGGAAACCGAAGTACTCGGAGAAAACCTGCCCCAGTGTCACTTTGTCCACCACAAATCCCACTTGACCAGACCTGCCTCCAAGGTGTAAGTCCTAGCTTAGAATTTGATTTCTTTTAGGTGATAACTTGATGTTTGAATTTATATTTTTTGTTGAGTAAAGACCCTGTTTTCTCTTAATGCATATACAATTCTGTTAACAGTCTATGTGTAACTGTGAAAGGTAAAGCTATCCCTGTAACAGGCCACGGAGGACCATAGGGATGTCAGACGTCGAGGCTCTCACATTTTCTAGACAATTGGCTCATATATGGTGATGAGAATGTCAGCCTTATGTGCCGGCCACTCTTTACCCCCCAGGAAGATTCCTGGTACTCATTTCTGTTAGAGGCTGAGTTGACCCCAGGGCCACAGTGCAGCTGGAAGGATTATGTCAATTGAAAAAAATCCACCTCACTGGGACTTGAACCTGCAACCTTCCACCTTGTAGGACAGTGTCTTAACCAATTATGCTACCACATGCCCCTTTGGAACTGTAACATCCCAAAATTTATGTCAGAATGTTTCTTCTACTTTTCATGTGAACTACTTGTCACACAGGTATTGTAAATGAATATTTGTTGTTCCACTGTGCAACTGACATGCGGCATCTTGACACAGGTAATAACACATCTTAGTGAATGACTGCTCATTGTACTGTTCAAGTACATTAGTGGGAATTATATTAACATGGAGGTTTTTTAAGTTTGTTATTTAATGACACTGCTAGTGTCAACATTACAAAGCCACAAAGCAAGTTTGCTTCATGGCCACACAGATTTTGGATTGGGTAGACTTGAAAGGATTCTGACGATGGTGTATATTGTACTTCTTTTGGCTTATTTTGGACTTCACCCATCGTCTGGTATGTAAAAGACAAAAAACCACGACGTTTTGGAGACAGATCCAGTCTCCGAAACATCGTGGATTTTTGTCTTTTTGTCTTTTACATACCAGACGATGGGTGAAGTCCAAAATAAGCCAAAAGAAGTACACATTTTGGATTGTCAAAGGTACTGTACCGAACCTATAGTTACTTATTTTGTTGGCAGCTTTTCAAATTTAAATACTGAAGTATTAGTATGATTAATAGTTGAGGAATCACTAAAGCAAATATTATTTAGGCCCAACAAGAAAATATGAGCAATGCATCAAATTATCTTGAACAGGGTAAGCACATTTCTTTCATCAAAAACTGCTTTTTACCTGCTTCCTGTCAATTACTTGTATCCTAGTCTTCACATATGGAAAATGATTGGCTGTGGTAAGAATGGTCTTTCTTTTGTACTGTTCGTGCAGTTCTCCATGGGCTCGGCCTCCTGGTGTGAATGGAGTGGCATACACAAATCTTTCTGTTGGAGAAGTAAGGGAGTTTGTATTACAATTTCAAGATACTGCAATCTTTTGACATTCACACGCGCGCGCGCACACACACACACACACACATTCCCCCCCCCCCACGATTTGGGGTTTCCGTGTGTGACTTATCAGATGGGTTCTGGATTGGATGATTGGCTTTATTGATGTCTTATTTGCACAACTCAGGACTACAGGCAATTACAGCACTATTGCTGTTCTACACACATTACAGTTCACTGTTTCACCTGCACTAGGGTTCCCAGTCTTCACTGGTTGTACTATGGCAACAGATTTATAACAGTCCCACTATCACTTCAAATCATACATGAAGTCATCTTTTTACGGCCTAATTCCTTTCTTTCCATTACTCTGCAATTACCTTCAACTTGCATCTGCAGAATTCGACCAAATTCTTGACAACAACTAATTAAAACGACCTTCTCTGCCTCTTTATAACCGCTCGGCAAACCACCGCAAAATACACTCCTGAAATCTGTGTCATTATATGGTAGGAAACCTGTATGAATTTCAGATACTTCTGTATCAAAACACAGAAACCAGACTTACTGTCTTTTTGCAGCACAAATGATGCAATTAAGGTTCACAAATATGTTACTATTACCAAATACTATTTATGAGCACATACTCTGGCTTTAATCACTTTATGAACACATGGCAGTTAAGTACATAAGATTGTGACGTATTTGCACTATGCAGGACACCCCCTCCCCCGCCAGCAGTGATGTAACATTGGAGCGCTGTCACTGCTACGGTAACAGGCCAGTCAACACTCCATTCTCCCCCCCCCCCCCCCCGCGGCGGCAGCGGGGCACGCCGTGACCGCAGCCCGCGGAGGACNGTAATAGCACTTCCCACTGTGACGTAATGAGGGGACCACTGCTGTAACATGAGGCAACAGAGAATGGTATAAAATGCCGGCTGAGCATTATGTCAAGAGAGTGTGCGATCAGGAGTGACAAAGTGCGGATCGTGAAGTCGCCGAGTGCAGCAGAAGTCTACCAGTCGCTGTGTTGTACTGTGAATCAGTGAAGACTACTGAAGATAGTGTGAAGAGATTTGTGAGCGGGGTTTGTAAAGTGCGTAAACCCGCAACTGTGTTATAATTAACTGTAGTTACAGTTTGTAGGTTGTTAAATAAACCGATTAAAAATCTGAATGGCGTCTTCAGAGACAAAACAAATTACAATATTGTTACAGCGATTTGGACATGATATGTACTACACATGAGAGCGAAAGAAAACTGGTTTCAAGATTCTGGTTGCTAAATCTGACTGGAACAGATTACTTTGAAGACCGGAAACAGATAGAAGGAAAAATACTGAGTTGGATATAGGACAAATGGGATCTGAGAAAATGTACTGTACTTCAAATTGACTCAAGATATGCAACAGTGAAGTCTGTTATTGTAACAGACTTCTGAGTTTCATATCAAGCTAGGAATTTCTTGAGTAGTTATATATTTTGCCACTCACTGCTAAGCAATGACTCAGTAAACAGTGAACATTGGTAGATAATGCTTGCACCATATATGCACATGACAATAGAAGAACGTTGGTTTCAATGTGGTCTGTGTCACGACCACTGCTAAGCAGTGGCGCAGTGAACACATCTCTACAACAATTGAGGAGATGTGTTTTCTACATGGACTGGGCCAAGAAGTTATCTTGAAGAAAACTGGTGTTACAGTTTACTTGCTGGATATTCACCAAACAGCAACGAACTAAGCACAGAAGCTGGAGAACCTTCACTGGTAAGATTCATTACTAGAAAACAGCTAGTGAAAACAGTGCAGATGAATAGCCACTGTTGAGAGCTGTTACCAAGCAATGACTAATGAAAGCAGTCTGAGAAGACTTAGCATGGAGTGATTTGTAGTGTGCAACTCAGCAATAGGATTATAATTATAAGTATTTATGACCTGTAAGTGGTCAATAGAGCTATTCACCAATCCATACCCCATCTATAGTGACACCTAAGTCATGGCAATATCTACTTAGTATATGGGAAATACAATGAGTTAGCAGGACACTGCAGTAAATCATACAGTCAAAAATTATTTCATTAAAATCTAACTAATTAAATATGACTTGATGAGCAAATTAAAAAAAAAATAAATTTGGAAGAAAAATGAAGTGAAATGGAATGGAAATTTACTGTTTGAAAAATCTGATGAATGTGATGAAGCTCAAGAACAAACCTGACCGCAAACATGCAGTGAGGAAGAAAAGTTTCTTAAATGTTGTGATTTACTAAAGTAGCTAATATCATAACTGAATTTTGGAATGAATGGGATATAATGTGTTGCTTCCAACTTGATTAACTGGATTCTATTATATCTGCTACATCACAGAGTACTTACTCATATTAAAATTCCTGTCAAAATATGTGACACGGTGTCTGAGCTCATATGCTTCGAAATATGGTTCCACGTAAGTGATCTGAATATAAGCCTTTTCTGGGTCGAGGCTGCTCATGTCCACAGCATTGGAATCCTTAATAATGACTATGTTTTCTGTTCCAAATCTTTCAGCATAGAAGTTCTAAAAGGAGGAATACAAAAATTTAGCCATTCTATGATACATATACTGAACTTATATATACATAATGTAGCTGCAAAACAGGGCTTTCCTAGCAGATTTCTATGTTAGACCCTGAACGGGGATATTATATTAACAGCATACAGGGGCAGCAAATTCTACATTTTCACTCTACAGCAGGGCTGTCCATCTTACAGTGCACACAATATGCATACTGCCCATCAGCTAACTTCATGTGGCCTGCAAGAGTATCCTTCCATTACCAAAAACGTGCATCGCTACTTCATTTGGGGAAGGGGGGGGGGACAGAAGAAAAGAAAACAGTGGTTTCCCTGAAAAAACTTTGTGAAAAGTTTCGATTTTGGTATGTAACATTACAATATACTAAATTAATGCAGCGATTTTGAACCTTAAGGGCCCAATTCTTATTCTTGTGTCATACAGGACTGATCACCAAAGGTCAGATATTTGTATCGGTATAAATGTAAATGTATGTCTTCATAAAACAGCATGCTGGGAGGTACCTAAGCACAATGAAGCACCCTGGTGGTTTGAAGCTGAACATTGCTAATGTAAGATGGAGGCTTTACCTACATTTATAGTGTCAGACATGTTAAAAATACAAATCTCAAAACTTCTGTTACCAACCTCCAAACGACTGAAAATTTCTGGAAGTTTAGTAAGTGTTGGTTCCTTATATATGAATTCTTCTCCATTTAAATCACCAAACTTTGATCCATAGAAACCAACTCGGAAATAGGTGCCAAAAACTCTCTTGCCCTGCAACTGTTCCACCCGAGTGAAAGCATCATGCAGTTTTCTGAAATATAAAAGATAATAATAACATTAAGATGGTTCGTAAGGAGATTGGATGTGAAGAGTGGAAGTGAATGGAACAAGTTCAGGATCATGTTCAACGATATGATTCAATAATAATGGTGTCGGATCTTACTACCATTATGAACATGCATCTGGAAGGAGAGAAATTTCAAACAATGATGAACTCAAATGCAGTGCCCTGAACTGCCTATACAGTCAGGACTATATCCTTCTATGCTGATGGCACCAGCAACTTGCCAGGATAATGGAAAAAATGTGTTAGTGTAAAGGGACACTACCTTGAAAAGAGTAAGAGTTTGGAACATTGTGCATGTTTTCTTTCTATCTTTCATTTCATTTTTGCAGAGACCATAAATTTGTCTGACATGGTATACAAAAATATTCATCATGCACAGTGAAACCAGTTGCATGTTTCATCCATTACTGAACGCTGTGAGTACTTATTAGAACACACATTCTTTTGAATCTATTCTAATACTGAGGTTGCACTTTAATTTCCACAGCGTCAATTCTTTTAGAGAGAATCAATATTTTATTCTCTCCATGCAAAATTTCTGCAAATTAACTGCACCATATCTTTCTTGCCAGTGAAGATTTGTACGGATATTAGTGTGAACAGTGACAAACATATGAAATGGAAATGATTATAGCTGCAATAAAAATATAAACATATGACTGATTCATTGTTATTCATACAGCTACACTGGTTTTTGAGATCAGACACCACTGTTCCCACACTACATAACCTCACCACTTATTTAAAACATCAAGTAAATACTGTTTTCCATATATTTATTTTGAATAACTTCACGAAAGAAAATAAGCATTGGAAGCTAAAAGAAACCATTCCAAGTAACTGTACAGTTTGATAAAAATTCCTTGCATGTGCACACACAAAAATAACTAGTACCAAAACTATGAAATATTATTGCTCTTTGTAACTGAGGTGCAGAAAACATAAACCATCTTCTTACACTCTGTTTTTCCAGATTAATCACTCTGCAGTGTTTCAATTCAGAATTAACATTCTGAACCGTTAACCTTTTAGACTTTTAGTAGGATTCCTTGGATGGGCCATAATTTGTCAACTCTGGTTTACACATGCTACTATCAGCTCAAGGTAACCTTCCACATCGTTGGCTGGTCGACTAGTGAACATAATATATGGATGTTAGCTGACACTGAGCAATTAGCAGGAAAGAGCCATGCCATGCTGCAACTACTGTGCCCTCTTGGAGGATGTTAACACGTATGTGCCGCATATTGCTTGCAGTGCATGTATACAAACCTGTGTTTAAAATTGGTTCATTTATATTAACTGCATAAAGAATATATTCACCATACATACACACACACAAGCATCATTTTTCTGCACTGTTCAGCAATTTTTAGAACTGGGTTAGTGCTGGGAAACAAGTGGAAGAAGCTGTAAATAAGGGACTAACTGAATGTGACCAGTGAAGTGAAAGGGTATGCAAACATTCCAGACACTGAAATGGCAAACCAACTTTGGGCTCCTTCCATCTATGTGAAGCAAAATCATGCTATCAAAAGAGAAATTTACAGATGCAGAATTTAAGTGTGGGACATGGGCCAAGAAATGACAGAACACAAAGATAAGAACTTCCGATGAACTGGACAATATTCTACTCAAACGACAACAAATGCATTTTCTGCTTTTATTTATTTTTGTAATGATTTCTGTAGTGTTCATATCTTCATCCTTTTGTTAGATTAAATCAGATATCTGATGTGGACATTAAAGTAAACCTTTCCCCCTCTTTAATCAGTTTCTTGATTTAAGGTATAAAAATCCCATCCTAAAAGCAATCCTTAAAGGAAAGCTGCACTGTATACCAGTCTGAATGGGTATATACAGTTAACTGGTTTCTGGTAATCACAAAAGAAATAAAACTTATCACTCACCCATGTATGTTTGCAAGTTTCTTATAATCCCTATTTGCTTCTGCTATTGGTATCAATATTGAGTAAACATCATTTATTGCTTCATACATTCCAGCCTGGAAACAAAGCATGTAATAAATATATCGCACACAAGGAAGGTTTAACGGAAACTTGCTGAAGCTCAGTTACCACACATCAAGGTTCAAAACTGCCAACTGGATGGCTGTTAACAACACAAACCCAAAAAACCGCAGCAAAATTTGTTATATTCCTCCAACAAAAAGTAATAAAGAAATAAATAAATACAACATATTCTTCATTATGGATGCATGGGTTTCCTCTTTGCGGTTTATCTACGGGCTCTCTTTCGGTGCATTTGCAATGCTGCAGGGCACCTACGGAGTTCACTCAACATCTCTATGTGCTCATCTTCTGTCTGTCTCTAAGCATAAAACAAACTGAGCCGCTACTAACATTTCTGTGAAGTCTCACACTGGAAAATTTTACACAAAAAAGAAATGCAAAACCATTTCTACTTTTACTTATATCAGACAATTTTAATGCCTACTTTATATGCAGACCTACACATGTTTCTGCCATGTATCTTAAGCTTATCTTGCTAAATAAATAGTGGAGTGAAGAATGTTTCATGCAGATTTGTGGACAAAAATGAAACACTCATTTTATGTTTAACAGTCTTTTTCTGTGAGTCTTCCAGTTTTCAAGATAATTACACACATCACATGCTACATGTACATCTCCAAATTTCTGTATCTAACAATTATTATGGTCTCTTGATTTTGGAGAGACTACAGTTTACAATTTGTGCATCTTCTCCCCTTCATCAGTATGAAGTATATTGTTAAAAAAAAGAAGAATAAGGACAAATGAACTGGCCTCCATTATTATAGAACAATATTCTTTCATGAACATGCATTAATAATTATTAGAGTTCTGTGCTAGCTGGTCTTTTATTCTTGTAATGCTTTGAACATTGGGTTATAAACGTTAATACACGTGTCATTCATGTTTAATCTCTCTTTACTGACTTCATGTATTGTATTTTTCTGCTGTATAGGTTATACTCCCATATGCATGTCCTGTGCTTAGTATATGGCTCGAATATCCTGAATTACTGTTATTAATCCTAAATGCCTGTATAAAAAGAAAGGGTACAGCTGTCCCTGTAACAGGCCTCAGATGCTCATAGGGTTGTGAGACGTTGAGGCTCCCACATTATTTAGACAATCTGCTCAAAGATAGTGGTAACGTTGTCAGCCTTATGTTCCAGCCACACTTTATGCCTGGGAAAATTCCTGGTACTCATTTCTATTAGAGGCTGAGTCGACGCCAGGGCCATAGTGCAGCTGGAAGGATTAGGTAAACTGAAAAAAATCCAACGACCTCATCAGGACTTAAACCCATGACCTTCAGGCTTGTAGCATAGTGCCTGTATATGTTCTTTATATCTGACGTAAATTTTCAGCTCATTTCTCATCACTGAGCATTTAGTCTTCATATTAAAGTTCTTCCAATGGCAATGCAAGGCAATAAAATGTATGTACAGAACTACTACGATTATTATGTTATCTTCAGATATGAAGCATGTGCATTTCTTGCCACTGATGGCATAATTCTTCAGCCCTACCATCAAGAAGTTACATGCAGTTAATCCAAAATGGCTTATATGCTCTTCAGAGGTTTCTTTTTAACTGTGTGTTTCATGCCACAAATAATTACGTTTTAGGACAGTTCTATATTTATGACTGATGAATAATGTGACGCGTTACCTTATGTCCAACACCGTGACAGCCGCTACAATCAGAATGGACACTTCCACGACAACGAATACGTGGAAATTGTGCAGCGACAAATCGTAGCAACAAATTGTCATTGAGTAACAACAGATGAGACGAAACACATTACCAGTGTAATCTATAAGGAGCATTCCCGAAGCAACGGACTGCCGAACATGTGAGATCAAACTTTGGTGAGGGGTGTCCTCTATTGAGTCCGCATAACCCCCATATAAGCAGAGCTTATGACATGTATGAGAGAATTGAATATTGAGACAGAAGCCAAGTGATACTACAACTGATAATAATTGTAAAGAGTGAGTATCCAATAAAGAATCACTAAATCTGAGACCCACATGAAGTTATTTGTTGCGTGACATACCCAACACATGACAATATATTGCATACTACTACTTGCAGCAATTATTTTATCACTGCCAACTGCCAGTTATGATCTTGTTGTCTACTCATTTCACTGTACCAACGTTTGCTCAGTCACTGCACTGTCTTCTTCTTCCATCCTATGTCTGCCTGCACTGAACTAATTCATGATTCACAGCATGCACTATTTCACACCTATTTCTTTCTGCACTCAGCACGTGACTTCCCAGTGCCACAATCAGTTAGCCTGGGACTGTGATTGCCATCTTCCTGAATTCTACAACTACCTTCTACAGCCGCAGACCTTCACGAAGTTTCTTGTGGGTTCTTGGGTGACCTAGGCCTTTGGAAATCGCTTTCAGTCTAGAAGGAAGGGTGCGGTAGAATGACAGACATGCATAAACAGGTGACGCAGACACCCATGCTCAGCTCTCATTACAATATAATTCTATTTTAAAATCAAATAACCCACTAACCACAAAGAACTGCAAGACTTCATAATTAATAATTATTTTCAGTTGGTTTACTCTAAATGCTGTCACTCTACAGAAACTCAGGTCTTACTTCTGGCACTGGTACAATGTAACAAAGAACTTTCAATATGCATGAGACTCACAGTGTGGAATGAACTGGCTGCTTGTTCTAGCAGTCCTATGAGTCCACTCTCTGTAAAATCCTTTCCAAGACAAACACCTTCTTCCTCTGGACTCAGGACATCATCAGAAACTGCACTTTCTTCCAAGGAATTTGGAGTTATTTTCTCAAATCCTACTGCTCCAATAGGCAGATGAGGCTCATCTTCCAACATGTGTAAATATTCGGCAACAAGGGCTGCACTATGCACAAGGCACATTGCTGCTTCTGTGTGATTATTACGCTGCAAAGGCAAAGCACTACATTAGCATCACACAAACACATTTAAAGAAGAATATTAAAATCTGCATATATAACATTCACAAAATATATTTCTTTACAATAACACCGTAAATGTCAGTAGACTGGTTTTGAATTCATGGATCATTTAAAAATCTGTGCTGCCTTTCCCCATAAAAATAATAATGAAACAGAAGAAATTATAACTTAACCGCAAAAATCTATGAGTGAAATTACACAAGAAATTCAATGAAGTACTTATGAAATTTTTCCAATCACAGACAGTTACTATGCACATACAAATTAAACATTATACAACTCATCAGTCTATCAGATGTGCAAATTTTGCACTACTTAGAAGTTCAGAGATGTAACTTCAAGGCATTGTGACACCTCCTACTTTGTAATTTTTATTAAAAAGCACTGTATAAAATTTGTGGCAACACGTGTATGCTCAATCAATGCAGGAAATCATATTCCTGGCTATAATGCATCATTATGTATCACTAACATACTGAAATGTAAATATAAACATTTTAAATGGCTGTGGTATATGATATACACAAGTTAATAATAAATAAATGAAAACTGCATAAAAACATTTTAAGTACAAATATTATATTTCTGGACTTTATCCATCATCCTGTGTTTACTTTAAAACACAATGTTTCGGAACTGGAGTCTGTCTCCATCTTTCAGTAAAAAATACTCAGATGAACCCAATTAATAGAGCTACTGCCTAGCTCCAGGCTTGAAGATAGAGACAGAATCCAGTCTCTAAAATGTTCTCTTTTGAAATATAAATAAGATGGTGTTTTGTATAAAAACAGGATGATGGATAATGTCCAGAAACATAATAAAAAAACTATCCCTGTAACAGGCCGTGGAGGCCCATAGGGTTGTGAGACGTCAAGGCTCCCACATTTTTTCTAGACAATCAGTTCACAGATGGCAGTAAGGTTCTCTGCCCTACACGTCGGCCGCCCTTTACCGCCAGGAAGATTCCTGGTACTCATTTCTGTTAGAGGCCAAGTCGACCCCAGGGCCATAGTGCAGCTGGATGAATTAGGTAAATTGAAAAAAATCCACCTCATCTGGACTCGAACCCATAACCTTCCAGCTTGTAGCATAGTGCCTCAACCAACTACACTGGCACATGCCCCCTATCCAGAAACATAATATTTGTACTAATGTACCATCATCACAAACTTTTAGATCTTATTATTTTTAAGAGTTACAATAGGAGAAATTATTCTAGATAACACAACTTTCAAGCTTACATTTGGAGTTTCAATATGACATAACACTTATAGCTACTATTTTCATATACTCCTATGTTTATTTGACCAAAGTCCAAAAATGTAGTAAAAGAAACACTACAGCCATGGACAAAATGAGTGAATGCATAAACATGCTGCAGTGGGCAGTGAAGATAGGTCTTGGCCAATCTGGTCACAGATCCAAATATTACTATGGGCATACATATGTCCTGTGTTTTCATCAGCATGAATAATTCTACTCACTTCCCCCGCCCACTTCTGGAGATCTGCAAGGTGGTAGTGCATTAAGTTAACAAAGAATCAATCAATCCTCTTAGAGTTACCGGCAGCATTAAGTAAGAAAAGCTTATCTCAGTAGTAAAAGTGGCTTTACACACCTCCATATGTTTCTGAGCCATGTTTGCAAGCCATGTGAGCCGAAGATCTGGAGAATTCTGATAGCCCTTTGCAATACGATACATGAGGTCCATCAGCATCTCTGGGTCCTCTTGAAATTCTTTCATCTTAACTGTGTCCGACAGTATCATATGCAAATTGAATACAAGATCTTTGACCTGGTAGAGAGAATTATTATTCAAATGAGATTTCTGACCATTCTTCACCAATTTAATAACATACACAACTTAACACATAACATAACTTCATAACTTGTACTCTTCTCCTAGTATAATTAGAATGATCAAGTCAAGGAGGATGAGGTGGGCAGGGTATGTAGCACGAATGGGGAGACGAGGAATGCGTATTGGATATTGATGAGAAAGCCAGAAGGAAAGAGACCACAGGGAAGACCAAGGCGTAGATGGGTGGACAATATTAGAATGGATCTTAGATAGATAGGATGGGATGGTATGGATTGGATAGATCTGGCTCAGGATAGGGACCAGTGGAGGGCTCTTGTGAACACAGTGATGAACTGTCGGGTTCCATAAAATTCTGGGAAATTCTTGAGTAGCTGCAGAATTGGCGGCTCCTCCAGAAGGGCTCAGCTCCACTCTCCAGCGAGAGTTCAGTCAGACTGGAGAGTTCATGCTGTGTCAAATCAATTGTAACAAACAATAATTACACTGATTTATCTCAAGTTTTTGCATCGTTTCTTCCGCATGTCGAGTCTACGGCCCAGCTCCAAACCACTGACCAAGCTGATCTGTAGGATCCAAGATACTTACTCAGGGAGTGGGGTATATAATAACATAACACCAGAGATTACTGACATGAGAGCAATGAAATGGAACATTATACGAAGGAAAATCTTAAATTGAGACACATTAAATGGGAATTCTAATGCATTCAGTTTACCAAGATTTTGCTGTAATTCACACTAATCAGCTTGTGAGAATGTATTACAGCTTATGGATGTTCAGTTCTCTTCAGCACAGTGGACATCCTCTCTGCTGAATATGAAACAGCACAAACACAATACCTGCTCGGGAAATGTGGTATCTTGTAGGTCCGTGTCCTTCTCCGCATATACCAGAATTGTTTTCAATGATCGCCGTAGAGATTCTTCACTGACTGATGAACTTGTGCCAACTAAAGAGCTCAATGACATTGTTACTTGCATCTTTACTCTTGCAAAATTCTGAAATGAAACAATTGGAAAATATATTATCACATAATGAACCTAATATACACAAAATAATATATAAGCATTAAAATTTTTTGATCACAAAGACCTGGAAAATCACCTCCTGCAGTTGTGCCCTAAAGTCGTGAAATACCCTGTATACTTATCACAGTCATTGTGAGTAATTCTATTTTGCCTCTTCTTACTTTTATTTTAAATTTTAGATTTTTATTAAACTAATTAGAAAGGTTAGGGCAGTAGATCAGAAACATCTGGAAAGTTTTGAAATGTGGTGTTGGAGAAGGATGGAGAAGATCAGTTGGACCGATTATGTGAGAAATGAAGAAGTGTTAATTAGAGTCAGTGAGCAGAGGAATATCCTACACGAAATAAGAAAACAGAAGGC